ACAATGACATTCCAAGGAGGTCCACATTCCTAATCACCAGAGCTTGGGAACATGGTACTTTACATGGCCACAGGTACTTCAAAAGAGATGACCTTGGGGTATTTGTGTGGCACCAAAGTAATCACAAGGGTCCCTATAAGAAGGACACAGGGATGCCGGAATAACAGAAAGAGCCGTGGTGGTGGAGACAGCAGTCAGAGCGATGCCATTGCTGGGTTAGTGCTCTGAGCCAGGAATGCTGAGGGTCTCCAAATGCTGGAAAAGGCAAGGAACGGGTGCTCCCCTGGAGCTCCAGAAGCAACACAGACCTGACAATACCTTGAGTTTAGTTTCAAAGGGCGACTTTTAGACTTTTGACCTGCAGCATTGCTTACTTTCCGTGTCATAAGCCACTGATTTTGGTAACAGGAAACTAATACAGTCGTGACCCTGGAATACCGCAACCTCTAAAGCAGAAGTCATAATGAGTTTCTAGTCCAGGTAAGAAGGCACTAAATATTCAGAACAACAACCTGTCTGCCACTAGATTCACCGCGTGAGGAAACTTAACCTTGCAATCAGGTTCTCCGCGATCTCCACGAACTATTACTTCAGCAGCAGGGACATCAATGTGACTGGAGGCAAACCAGCATGTGGAAGGCCAGCACATTCACTGTGTTCACGGGAAATTGCTCTTGGAAACCAACCACATTCTCCCACAGGTGACTTAGCAAAGAGGCTGCTGGCAAGAGTCAGGTCAGAAGCCTCGGTAGGGAGAAGGCTCCCGGGGGCTGCAGAGGGGCAGGCGGTGTGCAGCTGTCAGGGCGTGTCTAACTCAGAGCTTAGATGCCCAACACCCTCGTCCTTTGTGGGTAGATAGAGCAAGACAGAGAGCATGAGAAAGCTGGGGATGAGGGTTACCTGCCTGTAACCCCAGCACTTGGGAGTTGGAGGCAAAGGATAAGAAATTCAAGTCCAGCCTAGACTTCATGAAGCCATTTCAAAACACACGAGACAGAAGAGTTCAGGGGTTGTGTGAAGCACTGTTGGGGAAGGGCTCCTCTCAGAACTTTCTGGAATGAAATCTGGGGATAGAATCACAGTCTAGAGCCTATCCCTAAGTTTAAAAGTAAGTACTCTGTTTCAAAACCAACTCAGAAACCACGTCACCTACAAGACGCAACTCCAAGCTGTTAAGAACAAAATCAAAACTTGGGCTAGGGAGTTAGATGGTCTGAGTTCTCATTTCTTTCTTAGTTGTATGTGTCACACTGGACAAATGAATCACTGTCTCTTAAGTTTTATTTCCTTGTCTTGAAAAATGTACATGACAGCTTTTTAAATCATAAGTTATGAGGGCTAGGAGAAATCACAGGAGCAAAGAATCAGCACCCATTGAAAACCTAATAAATGTTAGCAATTGTGGCTAAGTTCCCCTCTCTGGAACCTTTGTGTCATGCTTGTCCAATGTACTCCCACAGCGGCAGCTCTAGTTTGCTTGGCTGTGATAACCACCATGACCAAAAGCAACTTGGGCAGAACAGCCTTGCTTTACTTTACAGGTTATAGTCTATCACTGAGAGAAGACAAGACAGGAACTCGAGGCAGGATCTCCCAGCAAAAAACAAAAAACAAAAACAATGGAGAAGCATTGTTTCCTGTTTTGTTCCCTGTGGTTTGTTAGTTGGCTTTCTTATGCAGCCCAGGCCCATCTGTCTAGGGATGGCACCACCCACAGTGGACAGAGCCTTCCTACATCAATCAACAATTTAAAAATGCCTCACAGGTATGGTCACAGACATTCTCCTTAATACAACTTTTTAGTTGAGTTCCCTTCTTCCCAGGTGACTCTAGGTTTGTGTCAAGTTAACAGCTGAAACTATGACAGTAGCTGATGTATATCTCTTCCTTCACTTCACTTTATTAAAATTATAAACAATGAGGAAGAGATAGGACAGGGGTATCATGAGTTCAAGGCCAGTCTGGATTACATAGTGAGACCCTGTAATAAACAAATAAAATTATAGACGATGTGAATTTGGAGCCCTCAAAGACAGAGCCTGTCTCATTTGTTGTTATATGATTAGCGTCTAGCTCAGAGTGTGGCTGCTTGGGGTTCTTTTTTTCCAAGATGCTCATAAACTGATTGGGCATGTGAGCTAAGGATTTAAGTTGCCAGCTATCATCTGTAACTCCAGGAGTTTTTCCATTAATTGATAAGATAAATTGAGTCACAATTAACCTTTATTTACTAAAGAAATAACACAGGAAATTTCTGAGTATAAAATCCACGATAAAGTTAGGTATTGCCACATGGAGCTTTGCAAGTATATTTGGTTGCATTGTAAATGCATCTCATATTGTGGGTTTGGGCTTATTAATAGTGTGACAATCCATCTTGCCAATGATCAGCATTTTCTAATGTCTTCATGTGACTAGTGATATAAGCTCTTTTCATCTTGTCTGCTTTGGATACCTTGTAAAACAATTTGGTAGTATTCCTAAAGCGGAACATGCATTTCATGATCTACTTCTATTTGTTTACCCATTAGGAATGTGCACACACATTCACAAATGGCATGTACAAAATGTTTATGCCAACACCATCTTACTAGCCCCAAACTTAATCTATCCCAAATAAGCTGGTATGTTAACACACAACAGAACCTTAGTTAGAAGAACAAATCAACCACAACTCTATGCATGAGTGTTGAAGAATCCCAAAAGCATAAGTGAGACAATCTGCATGAAAGCTCATGTCTAACTTGATTAACATGAAGTTTAAAACTGGATGAAACTAAACTCCGGTGCTAAAGTTGGGACAACCTCATAAGTGCAGGTATGGTTCTTAATCTGTTGCCCATCACATTCACACGTTCACTTTGTGACTTGTGAGACCTTGACACAATTACTGTGTGTGTGTGTGTGAATGCACATATATGTGTATGTCAGAAGACAGTTTGAAGTGTCATTCCTCAGGTGTTACACACACACACACACACACACACACACACACACACACACACACACGAGACCAGGTCTTTTACTGGTCTGTAACTTGCACCAAAGCACATACATGGCTGTACATGGCTGTGTTTTTTTTTATGTAGGTTCTGGGGAAAGATCTCAGGTCCTCAACCTTGCAAGGCAAGCACTTTCTTTATTGACTGAGTTATCTCCCCAGCGCCACAATTACTAATTTCTTCAGGTATGATAAACACTGACAGACAGCCACAGTCCCTGGTACAGTCACTCTCCTCCCCAGCAGGTACTCTGCTGGCCTTTGCTTGAATACAGACAGGGTCAGTAATCTCCCCAGATCAGGTAGCCCAGTGTTTAGAGGGGGCTTCCTGCCATGGAGCCATACCTTGCCTCTTTGGAACTTGCTGTGTCCATCAGTTGTTCTGTCCTTTTGGGGGATTCCAAACTCATCTAATCTCCCTACCACCAACTGCTCTTCAGATCTTTGAATAGTGCTGGCTTATCCTCCCTCTCTCTGCTCTTCAGAGCCCCAGGTCCCTTGGCCTACCCTCAAAGCATGGCTTTGAGCCCCACCCTTGACTGGACTTCTTTTTAAAATCTTGTGAAACCCCAAACACAGCACAGTTTTCTAGAAGAGACCAAAAAGTAGGATTGACCCTTCACACGGAGAACATTTACTTCCTCCATCAATGGACTCTGTGTGCAATTTGTCCTGTCTTCAAAATTCACGGTAAACTGTTCACTCTGCTGAGCTGAACCGTCATCTGGGAAACCCTATTCTTTGCATACTTTCTGTTGAGCCCCAATTTACTTTCTGGGTTTGTAGCCTTCACTGTCTCAGGAGTCAGAACAGTCACTTGGCCCCACGCCAATCTCCCATGGCTAAATCCGGGTGATGAAGAGCCTATCTGAGATACAGTCCTCATACACCCAGAGACTCCCTCAAAAAACAAACAAACAAAAAACAAAAACCACAGAAATGAAATCTTTGTCTTAATTTGGGGTCCCTACTCCTTATCACTCACTGGAAGGAGGTCCCTTTTAAAGCATATTTAGAGAACAGTGGGATAGAGGGTGGAGAAGACAGAATTCCACCACCATCTCTGCAACCGACCTACCCAGACCGGCCCTGACCTCGGTTTGGGCAGTGGAGGGTGCCCAGAGACTTTTCAGTCCCTCTTGCATAGTGAACTCAGGCGAGGAGCGGTACTGGCCTCTGTGGGGTGCTGGCATGTGGCTAGGGCAGGGTGAGGTAGAGGTGGAAAACGTGGCAGAGTGAGAACGAACCCGACACGTTAAAAGTACCGGAAACTAAAGGTATCTCTGGAACTAAAGGTATCCCTGGGGGAAGTCTACTGGAGTCTCTCCAGTCTCTAGAAGAAAAAAAAAAATCCTTCCAATCTAGGAAGAGACAAGCGGACACACGGCTACAGAAAAACTTCCTGGCAACCCGGGGCGGTTTTGACGTCAGGAGTAGGTGAAAAGGAGAATCGCCTAGGTAGGAACACGCCAGAGAGCAGAGCGCGTGCGGGAGGCAGACAGAGGTGGGCTGGGAACCAGGGAGACAGAAAGGGGGAGCGCTCAGAGGCCTCTAGTGGTGAGGGGCGGCAGGGGCAGGGAACAAGGCAGGGATTCCAAGCCCACAGGCGGTGAGGGAGAAGCCTTTCCCTACCTGGCCCAGGTCTGCTCCATGATCCAGGCGCTCTCCACGCTCTCGGGGCGCCACTCACCCGGGGGTGGCCACAGCCCGGGAAGATATCAAGCCGTGCCCAGGAGTCTCCAGCGCAAAAAGCCTGAGTCTTTTCCTCCTCCCCAGCTCCTCTGGGCGCCGGCGCCGGAGGAGGAACGAGGTCTGCTCTCCGCTTTTTGGAGAGACAGCAGATGGGCCGCGGCCGCGCCCTGAGCTAACGGTGCGCGGGGCACAAGGCAGGGACTGTTCTCAGGAGGTGGCTGGACGCTGCTATACTGCCCAGCCCAGGCCTCGGGCGCACTCGCTCCCAGGCTGAGACGCGACTGGCTGGCACGAGCAGATCAGCACCAGCTGAGCTGTCAACCGCGAGTGAGCGGAGGCGGGGCTCCCTGCGGCCCAGGACCCGCCCAGGTGACACGCCGCGGCACACACCCTCCGGCCTCCACCGCCTCCCTCGCAGGCTGAGTGATGATATCTCAGGAGTGGCCTTCGATGGCCCTCTTCATACCTCCTGTCTCTCGCTCGTCCCAGTAGGGGCTTTGGATAAAACCAGCCAGCTGCAAGGGAGCACCTTGGAGAGGTGGTCTTCCCCTGCGCCTGCGTCACCCACCCTCAGGTAACCTCCGAGGCAGAGATGGGTGTCTAGGAAGGATGAGATCCAACTGAATGCAGGTGTGCCTGCTAGAGCGTCATAGGGCACAAGGTGATTTTCTGAGAGATTTGACCCGTTTTAGTTTCACCAGTCATCCACGGACAGAAACTTCCTCAAGAAGTAACCTTCCTAACCAAACCTTGCAGTCTTATTAGCAGCCCCCATCTCAACTAACCCCCGCTTTTGCACTATTCTGCCTCCTTCCTTTTTGGTTCCCACAGCAACCAGGCTCTACCAGAAGATCCCAGGACTCACAGGGCTCCTGAACATCCCAGAATGATCCTAACGCCTTAAGAGCCTTAAGAGTGGCCCCTAGGAAGTCGACTCTCCGTGGAGGCTGTTCTGAGATCACATGCAAAGCTTTTCCTTCCAAGGAGGGGGCTGCCCAGACCTTGTGCATCTATGTATGTACCAATGTTTAACAAGACAGACATGCTGTAATTAGAGGGCTTGCCGCCTGGAGCTCCCTTTTAACTCTGAAATAAACCTTTTTATTAAGTCACACGATCACTGTTATCAATAGCTTTGCCACTGGCATTTTAACTTATTTATTTATTTATTTATTTATTTATTTATTTATTGAGACAGGGTTTCTTTCTGTATCTCTGGCTATCCTGGAACTTGCTTTGTAGACCAGATTGGTTTTGAACTCGCAGAGATCTGCCTGCATCTGCCTCCCAACTGAGTGCTGGGATTAAAGTCGAGTACCACCACGGCCTGGCTTGGAATTTTAATTTTCAGAAAGCTTTCTAGTACTTATAATTGGCAATGCCAATTTAGTTAGATTTGTTTGTGGATAGCATGTTTAAGAACAAGAAAGCTTGACCCTGCCCAGGCTCTGATAAGACTACTGGCATGTCTCAGAGCTATGCTCTCCAAATCTCCAAAGATAGACCAACAAGGCTTTCTAGAAGGAATCCATTCTTTCAGGAAGTCTTGCATTTAGACTCTGGGAGAGACCTGACATGTGTGAGTTCTGGCAGAACTGCAAAGAGCCTGTCCTGTGGCAGAAAACTGTTTCTTAGATTAGTTCTAATCACTTATAAGAAGCAGAGAGGAGAGTGCCTCATAACAAACACCGCCCAAGTTTAGAGGAGTAGTTTGAAAATACCCCAATCTAGAATCTCCCAAATCAGTTTGCAGCTGAACCACACTGCTCTTGAGATTGGAATCTTTTCTTCCCTTATGTTCATTTAAAATGTTACCAGGAGGGGACAAAATTAAGGTCCAGTTTGACACTAGGCAAGATCCACAAGCCACCTGTCTTGAAAAGAATCTACTGTTGCCTTGGGGGAGGGGCAGGGAGCTCAGGTTTCCATTCCTCATGCCAAAGTAGATGCTATACTTAGTTGTGTCTGAAATCAAATTATGGGCTGTTGAGCGGTGGAGAGAGATTCTGTCTACAGCCGGACATGCACTGCTTCAGAAGAGATAGGCACTAACTATGTGAACTGTAGCCGCTCAGAAGCCAGGCTGAAAAATATACTTGTGTGTTTTTGAAATAACTCTTCTCTTCAAAAATTTATAACATGTTTACTGCAGACCATTCATAAGTTACAGAAAATTATGTATAAAATAAGGTAACTCTTAATACCTAGTGGTAATTGATATTTAAAGCTTGTGAAATCTCTGGTCTTTTAAAAATGGACTTTTTAATGCAAATACAAGCTCACTTACACCCATGAATGCATTCGTGAGGAAAGAAATTTATTTGATATCTAAAAACTTTCACATCTATGGTTAAAAAAATTTCTTCTTAAATTTCAAAATAAAAACACTTGTCTAGATAGCACAAATCTAGCATAAATGCTTACGTTTCTCCAGGCTTCTTTTAGTCGTGTTTGATTGGTACATATTTATGTACCTATAATTACAGCTTATATCTACACATTCAACCTTCCCTTTCCACTTGTTATGTATTTATTCACGTTTTCAGATAATAGTCATATTTATACTCCAATGCTTTAATATATGCTATGATAGAACTGCAGCCTAATTAATATTATTTTGTTGAATAGGTATGCCATTTCTAATATCAGTGTCAAATAACACTTTAGTGAGCATTTTTTCTGCCTCTATTCTGTCATTCTTTAATTGTGCTGTGTTGTAACGTGTAGTCTTCCCACCAGCTGCTTGGGTCCCGCTCTGTCTCAACCCCCAAGTAACACATGAGACACTATATTTATTTTGAAGCTGTTGGCTGTTTGTTCTTATTAGCTAGCTCTGACTTAATTATTAACCCATAATTACTAATATATATTTCTATAAAGACTTATCTTTTTGAGGACGGCATCTTGACCCATCCTTTCTTCCCCAGGAACACATGGCGATAACTTACTCTCTTCGCTACCTTTCCCAAAATCCTCCTAGACTCCTAGTCCCACCTATCTTGCTTCCCTATTGGCCAACAGTGCTTTATTCATCAACAAATACACAGAAGGACTTCCCCCATCACTGTGTTTTGAATGTACAGATCCCTCTAAAATTCTTATATTGGAACATAAAGAGTGGGCCTAAGAAATAAGGTCTTTGGGGAGGAATTAAGCTATGAGTGTTATATTCTTAGGAATGGGATGGTGTTCTTATAAAAAGAGGTTGAAGAAAACGTGCTGGTTTCTTTTGCCCTCTGTCTCTCTTACCATGTCAGGATACGCTCTGTGTCCCGTCAGAAGGAGGGAAAAACAAGGAAACATCTGGACAGAGAGAAGAGGTCCTCACTACACATAGTCTGCCAGCACCTTCATCTCAACCTAACCAGCCTCCGGAACTATGACAAACACAGTTCTATCATTTATAAATAATGCAGTCCAAGGTGTTTTCTTATAGCAACAGGAACAGACTAAGACAAATTACTTTTTGAGGTTACTAAATTATTATACTGATATGGTAAAATGACCCTAATTTTATCATTTTACATTTGGTTCACTAGTAGTAAGATTTGTCATTAATTTTATATCATAGAGAAATAATTTGATAGTTATAAGATATTTTGGTTATATGTTACTACTTAGTATATAATCTAATGCCATTTCATTTTCCTCTACATTTATTATAATATAATTAATAAGTTCCTGTACATATGCTTACTCGGGAAGCATTATCCAGTCTATGTGAAATCCCTCTGAGGTGAGTCACTGTGTGTCAGTTATCTTTCTGCTGAAACGGAGTGACTCAGCACAGCCCCCAGGGCTCAGACGTTTGCAGACCTTCCTTTCACGCTCAGGGACCTGTGGTTGAAGGGTAGATGGGTTGGCTGTGGGTTAAGTCTGCTCCACAGACCTCTTGTTTCAGAACCCATACAGAAGCAGCAGCATCTGCCTGAGGAATGCTCTTCTCCTGACAATGGGTAGCAGAGAAAGAGGGTTGAGTAACACTTATGATGTCCCTTAGGTCTCTGCTCAGAACTGGCAAACTGTTCCTTCTACCATATTCCACAAAATAAGTAGATGGGAGTCCAAAATCATTAGTGGAACCCCACAGTCTAAGCAGAGAGTGCAGGAGTGAAAGGTAGGCATTTGTGTGACTATGATATATCCTGCCAGCCACTCTCTGCAGCATTCCCACAATTTTTGTCAAGTTTTCCTTTAGAGATACATGCTAGCTTTTACCATTTCTCACCCCCATTTAAAATTAATTGTGGAATTTAGTAAATGAAGCATCACTTGGTTTGGGCTTTAAAGTATAAGAGGCACTCATCGTTTCTAAGCAGAACGTAGATGCTGAGAATCAGAATATAACTAGCCTAATCTGTTTTCCACTGCTGTGTTAATATTGAAAGAGCAATTGTGCTGAGCCAAGGTTTTCACCAACCTAGGTCTCCGAGGGACTGGAATGACTGGAGCCTCTCTGTTGACCTACACTGAAATAAGGTAAAAATACAAAAATTAAGTTCCTGAGGGGCTGGACTTTTCTCCGGAGATAGAGTATATTGTCTAATAACAAGGTTCATAGCTGAGATCTGGTTCCAGTAAGTTTAGTTCTAGAATGTCATACCTGCCCATTATGCATGACTTCCCAGAGATTGACACCTAACATTCTCTGCACACTTGGTTGGGAGGACAATACACCTAAGTGCCCATCACTTCACTGATCACTGTAGTTCATTCCACTGACTTGATTGGTCAACAGGTCTCTTCCTTGTCCCTCACAGTGCCCTGCTCATCTCCCTAACTCTGAGTTAGGCTATCCTTTCAGGACAGAGTGAATTGTCCTAAAATCAAGGACACATTTTCTTGGATACTTTTCCCATTGAGAGGTAGATTACAATTTCTCACTCTTCAACTTATATTAGCTTGAGGAACTTACTTAACTAATAGACCTCTGTTCAAACGTATAACTGTCAAGGGTAGGTCAATAAGAAGTCTCCCAGATTAGAAATCAAACTACACTGCTAGATGAACAATGTGGCAAGGCCCCAGACTATGAATAGAACAGAGGCTTAGTGGAACAAAAGAGCCAGCAGCTCCCATTGCAATGCCATCAACTGGACAAAACCAAACAATTGCCCATGTGGCCGTGATGGGAGGTACACCTGTCCTCTGAACCATATTAGAATTATTGACCCCCCTAAACAATAATCTAAGAAAACACTTACTGTGTTAATCTTATAAATGTGAGAATAATTTGCTAAACAACAATAAACAGTTGGAATTGAACTTGATATCTAGAAGTGAGGTGTTGTAACTGAACAGTGACTGTAATATACAGATGCAGCAGGTGCCGGCAGGCCTTTGGGGGAAGGACCTTGAGAAGCCTGATGGAAAGCCACGAGGGCACTGAAGAAACTATTGCATAGGACCGGTGGGGGGGGAGGGAATAACCTGTATTGTGTATTAGCAGAAAGAGTATATAAATCAGTATAGAAAACAGAAAATGTTTGAGGATGATCAGGTAGAGTTTCAAAAATGCTAACAGGCTTCTTCTCCAACCAAAATCACTAACAGGCTTTTAAAAGTCATATTGTGATAAAGTGTGTACAAAAAAGACTAGTTTTAAAAAAAGAGACATCCTGCTTTTTGCTTTGTTTTTGGAGACAGGTCTCCCTTAATGGCTTCAAACTCCCTGTGTATAAGTAGGAGCCACCATGGTCAGCATGGGCCATTCAGTTTTTTGAGCAGAGTTTAGAGGCGTGTGAAGAGCCAGGCTTGTTAAATAAAAACCAAACCAAACCAAAACAAAACAAAACCCAACCCAACTGTTTCTCATCTTTTCAGTCAGTGAAAGCTTTCAAAATGAGTAGTGGCTTCAGCCAGGTGGTCGTGGTGCACACCTTTAGTCCCAGCACTCAGGAGGCAGAGGCAGGCAGAGCTCTGTGACTTCAAGGCCAGCCAAGTCTACAGAATGCGTTTCAGGATAGCTAGGGATACACAGAGGGATACCACTTCCCCGACAAAAGAAGTGGCTTCAAGACAAAAATCAAATCTAAGATGTGATTGTTAGACCCATGGAGACCTCCAAAAATATGTAAGGAAGAGCCTCATCTGTCCTTCCATTTAAACAAAC